TTATAAGGTGCTATCTTACTTATACGAATCTGCCCATAGATACCGATCACCGTATTTCGCATATTCAGCTACCTTTACAGACAACTACTCTACAATATAAAATCGTTCTCTTCATATTTATTAACACAAATTCAAATTATTATTTACCTATTTTTCTACTATGGTTTAAGTTTCTTGTATTATATGTACCTACTAAAATTAATTTATATCTTCAATGTGTTGGCTACTTTAATTGTAACACAAGACCATTTTATATGATAACCTTTTTAATTATCTTGAATTTAAATAATACAATTCAATTAAAAACTGGATTTTTCCAAAGAGTTTTAACTTGCAAAATTTATACGGGAATTATTATTGGGAAATACAAGCTAAAAACACCGACATATTAAATTAAAATCACTGGAATATGTAGTATGTTGGTTTCCATTTCGGAATTTATATACTTATAATTATTTATGGGTTTATTAAATATAGCCATAAGTTAACAACGTTCACACTGTGCTGCAAGTATGCTATACTTAATACTTAATGTATGTTTGCAACACATTACAGAATTTCTTAGATTAATTTGGAATAATGTTAACATTTTATGTTTTTTATAAAGGCTATCGTAAATGTGTAATATCTATTATTAATAATTGTAGTAGCTGCTAAAATGCTTGCTCGTATCGCCAATTCGCATTGTGAATTGAGTGTAACTGAGACTTCATTATCTTTATTTAATTATCGACTGAAATTTCGTTCATGTACTCTATAACTTGCACTACCTTTTTTCTTTTTATCTACATGTTGCTCTCTTTAGTTGCTACAATTTTGGTTTTGTGTGGCGGTTGGATGGACATTAAGTTTATAGGCAGGGTTTATATTTTATTTACGATAGGTATAGGTAACTTACATACTGTTTTTTAATTTAGATTAGTATAACTTGTGCTAACTGATACTGATAATTTATACTGATAATTTCTTATATTTCAAAATATTTAATGTTATACAATACAGATTAGTTTCATAAAAACTTGTTTTGGTTATTTTAAGTAAAACTACTAAATTTTTGTTTGCTTTTGTCACAGATTATTGAGGAGAAACCTACTCTGAACACGAAACCAATTGCACTTGTGCCATAACTACAAAACTATAGTAACTACACACTTCAGCTTCGCATCTCCTTCAGATGATAAGATTTGTGGCTGTTCCACTTTCTATTAGTCTTGCAAGTATGTCTTCTGCAAACATGAATTTCTCTGAATTTTGCATTTGCATTATATTCCATTCCATTCAGTATTTTTTAAAGGTTTTCTTGCATTGTTTCACTATCTCATTTATTACATTTATAGTGTCACTGCCACTTGAGAAAGGCAATCAGCCGAAACAACTGTAGTGATAAGAGGTTAAAATAAATTTTGTGGAAGTTTGAAAACAAAGTTTTCAGTGTTTTATTGTTACATTATCGCTTTTGTTTAAGAAGTCTGCACATTTACCATGGTTTATGCAAACTCATTGAAACGTTTCTTGTTTTTTCTAATATTTCACAACCAGGTGGTTTTCGTATAACACTTAGCAGATTTTGGACTCGAAGAAATGATTTTAGCGACCATTCTGTCTCCAGGGAGAGACATCAAATTTTGTTTTTGATATTTGTTTGGCTGTTTCTAGGGGTTGATGTCTACACTTCAGTATTTGCCACTCAAGGCCTCTTAGATCTTCATGCACCGAGAGTCACAGGTTGCTGGTGATTTTTTCGTATTTCCTTTTATTATTAAAATATTCTTTTCGAATATTTGGAGAAATATGGCTTGTGCAGGTAGCCAATAAGTCCTAATGGTACCCGTGATATTACGCATGGTTTCGTTGAGTTGTAATTTAATACTGTTTCAAAAAGATTCAGCTGCTAAAAAGATCAAACCAAGTGCAGATATTCGTAGGGTATTGGCTGAAGATTCCCAAGTAATATCACATGTATATAGCTTGTGGAGAATATTATTTTAGGTTCTAATTTCAGCACCAAATTTTGTTAGATGTTCTTTGAATGTCAACGTTCTATCTAATGTGGATAAGACGTCGTTTTCTGATGGCCACATTGAGTTATATACATGGTATATTGTGATTCAAATAAAAATAGCGTGTCTTGTTTGTATTTGGTTGCCATCTCTATTTTTGAAACTAGTTTCCAAGACTTCTAAGAGTCGATGAGACTGGGTTTTAGGGTTTGTTCAGTTTCTTCAAATGTTTGCTATTGGGTGGCTATTGTCCAGTCGTCTGCATATCCGAACTTCTTAGATAGCATATGAGTCTGCTCTAGACAGTGTCGTAAGCCGTCGATTAAACCTATGAAGACGACATATTTTTTTTCTTTTGTGTGCATGTAAAAGCGAAACTGAATCAATATGGGAATCTTGAGATATTAGTTGTGAACAATAAAATGAATGACTTGTGTTGATTGAACAAAATGTATAAATAGACAAGAACAAAAGCTTGGGTTTGTTAGGAAAAATATTCCCATGAGATTTTTTTGCATAATCATTTTCATGAGATACCTAAAAGGTCTGTTGTAAGTTTTCTCTAAAGTTGATCGTTTGTTAGTTATAAATAATTTAAATTTAAAACCTTGTTTTTTAAATGTTAATATAGCGCGTATGGCAAAGCGGGCGCTCTTTGTACAATGAAAATTCAAACCAGCAAAAATGTTTTACCAAAGATTTTTTCTCTATCTTATGCACGCAGCAGCATGAGCTCCTATAATAAGCGCTTCATTAACGATTAAAAAAAGTTTTAACATGAAATAAGCCCAAACTACTTATCAATCAGGAAATGATAGAACAAGGTTAGAACTTGAATTTAGGTCCTTCTATGGAATTCAAAAATAATATTTTTACTTGTGTTTTTAGCATTGAAAATCGTAATTTAGCTTTTTTTAGAGTTTTAAACTGTTTATAACTTGAAAATGATCAAGTATGCAGAAAAATTACAAGAAAAATAAAAAAAATTGTACGGACCGAAAAAATAAATAGTAACAAGTGTTAAAAAACTTTTCGCCTGGGCGACCTCTTGAACATTATTTTGGAGTATCTCATGAAAATAATTATGCAAAAAAATCTCATGGGAATATTTTTCCGAACGAACCCGAGGTTTTCGCTTTGTCTAAAGATGTAAAATACAAAATATGTACATACAAAATCTATAAATAAATTACAAAAACATACGTGTTTACATTATATATATTCTACAAATAAAAAATACGTGTATCTTAAACTAAATGTAAACTCTTGATTAAAAATTAAATAAAATATTAATCAAAGTGTCTGTAATCCAACTTTAGAATCTATTTGAACTTTTGCCGTTTCAAATTTAATTTGTTCCGATGTGTTCAATTAGTTCAGGATCTGTCGGTTTTCTGCTCAGAATTCTTTTTATATGCATGGATTTGCTTGAAATTTTGACAGTAGGTAAAAAATAGCTTAAAGATCAAAATCTACTTTGCGCCAATATACGCTTTTCCTCTGAGGGTGGTTAGCCAATATGTGCTTTTCCTCTAAGGGTGGTTACCACTCCAACTCGGGGTGGAAAAAGTGTATAAAAAAACATGTTATTGTCTAGAATACTGATTTTTATCGGAAAAACTGATTGGATCTAAAATAAAGCTTAAAAAATACAGAGATTCGTTTTTTATTATTACAGTAAACTTAATATTACCAAAGTTATGGCTGTTCGAAAGTAGACTTTTATTGCATGTTACCAATTTCTACAAAGTTGAAAGACAAGTAATTGGGCGGTACAAATAATAATACTTAGCTGAATCATGGATGTTATTTTGATCCTTCGGTATTAAATTAATCGTTTCAGTAATAAATGATGGTATTTTTTGCGAATTAAAAATACATATTGATTAAAGCAGTAAAGCTTATGAACACTTAAAAACTTCTTTAGTCAGAAGTTTTGAACTTCGTCTGGTCCAGGAGATTTCAGTAATGAGGCTCTTTGATTTCCACTTTAGAAATCGTTCGAAACGTAAAAATAAACATATCAGAAAAGTAAAAGTGTGGTTAATTCACAATAAAAACAGAAAATTATATGGAAATTGTACCAGAAGATAGCTTCGGGACGAATGGTAACAGTTTTTTGTTTGATTAAAATCCAACCATGCACCGTTTATATTTTATATCATTATATCAGTTACATAAGTATATAGAAATGTTCCTATAATGATTTTATACTACAACTAATTTATTTTTTGTGGTATCAGATTTGCTGCATACTGATTCATTTACTTATTTTTGTAACTATTTTGGCTAAGGGTGAAAAGATTCCTTCATTTTTACCTGTTATTGGAATTATTAGAATTGTTCTTACCTAGAATGAGGGAGAAAATGTACAGATATTGTACAGCTGTTTATTACATTTATATTTTAAAATTAATGTTTTATTTACTTTTTTGTTTTTTAAAGCATTGAATAACTTGTTCTTGCATTTTTTTATACCTTTTAACAACTTTTAACAGTTTGTTATATGTATATAAAATATTAATAACGACCATATTATTAAGGTCTGGTTGGTAATTACTTAAAAGTAAATAAATTATTTTGTTATAAACAGAAATCCTACAGGCAGCAGAAATTCGCGTAATACACTATAAGCGTTGAAGAATATATTTTTTCTTACATTTAAAAGATCTTTTTCAAATTTTTCCTTTTTAACATTAACATTTTGAACATTTCCTTACTCGAAAATTTTAAACCCTAATGTTTAACGACCTACACGAGTTTTTTTACATCAAGGTCCAACAACTACTTAGTATTCGGTTGTTTAGGTGCTATGCAATCAGTGAATTTCAAAACAAAACAAAAATTTCCCACAAATTCCCCATTCAACCGCTGGTGGAAAAAGCCTTCGCCGGGCAAGTATTCCGTGAATTACAATGGTTCACAGAGACCCCCACTTCCTTCATTGTCGATCGCCCATAAAAGCAGTCTCGACGATCCCCACCTCACATAAACGTTCCAACGCTAGTGAGTGATCAAGTGTATAGTAATTGTATATTAACGTGAGATTACAATAGTATTGTGACATATTACACAACTTTGTGAATTCCAACATCAGCATCTTTTTGGATTACAGTGAAGTGTAAAACAATTTCTATTTTGAGTTTTTTGAATTGTTCAAAAGTGTATCGATCGATTAGATTGAGATCTACCAGTTGTTTAGAAATGTGTGTGGAAACTGAAAACCAAAAATCTGAAATGTTCAACAGGTAGGCATCTTTTTTACTTTAAAAATTTAAACTTTTTCTCTGATCATCGGTACTCATTACACTACAGAAATTTTAAGATAAAATTGATTCATTTAATAAAATTTAAATAATAATAATTTTTGTATTAATTTTTAATAAAAATAACTGTTGTCTACATTTAATCTTTGTAATGTAGGATTATTTAAACAAACAAATCTTGCACTTTTATCACTTTCTTCCAATAATATCACTTTTTTCTTGTGAAGGACTTAATTTAACAAATCATAACTTCGTCTTTACTCTATAGCTCATCCTTCCTTTATTTTTTTATGTGGATACTCTCAAAAATATTTTATTAATGTGTTAAGTTAACACTGGATGAATAAATAAAAAAAAACATTGAGCGTTTTTAGAACCATGATATTAATGAGATTTTGTTTTTGTTTCAGAACTAAACTAAGTCGTGCTATGCACGCCATGTTAACCCAAGCAAGATCAAATAGTCGCCTAATTTGTGGACTTCTTCCTACCATAGCCCACCTTGAAACTTCACCTGAAGATGTAATATTTTGTCTACTTCCTCAAACCAGACCAGGGGATGCTAGTGCACATATGCAAACAGTATTATTACAGGCCTTTTGTTATGAAAACTACATACCAGTCATTCAGGTAGGTTTTATGATTTATTAGTAAAATAATCAGTAATTGCAGTAGTTTACTTTGATAATTTGAAATATTTGAGAAATTCTTTTCATAGTACAAATGTTCTGCTTTTGTTACTTTATTAATTTTGTCTTTTTATGATAATTTACCATTTTTTTTATTTTAGATTAGTATAATTTGTGCTTAACCAGGTTATACTGATAATTTCTTATAAACCAAAATATTTAATGTTATTCAATACATATTAGTTTCATAAAAAATTGTTTTGGGTTACTTTGAATAAAACAACTAACGTTTTGCTTTCTTTTGTTACAGGTGGATAGCAGTGAAAAATTAGCTGATTATTGTGGAGAAACCTACTCAGAAAACCAAACCAATTGCACTTGTGCCATAGTAACTAGAGACTTCAGCTTGCCATCTACTCCAGAGGATGAGATTCCTATGTCACCCACAGAGAAGATGTTAGCAGATTTTTATGATTTTACCTTGGAGCAATCAACAAGACCAATTATTGAATTGCCCAGTTGAATTTATCCTGACTTGACATACCACAACGAATATATTCAAAAAAATGGTTAAAAAAAGCCGCAGTTGGCAGCTACAGTTCTTCTGAAGTTGATAGGTGTCATCAATGATGTCTTGAATGGCATAAAATGCATTTATTGTAAAGGTGTCCAAAAATGATATGAATTTATATTGGACACACGATCCTATCTTGATTTTTCTTTTGCTTTGCTGCAGGAAGCAGGCATTGCAATGGTTCTAGGATTGGTTATGTATAGATTGTTTGACAATACTTTAACATTCTATTGTTGATAAGTTTATTTTGTAATAGATAATTAGAAGAGATTTTTATATGTTGTTAAGACAAATGAGTAAGATTTTTTGAGAATAAACAAATGATAGAATTTTTGTGTTTCCTTTCTGTTTTGCAAATTTGAGTGATACATTTTTCATTTTAGTCTACCTACAAATCAAATATTAAACTGTCCAAAACCTTTATTACTCCTGGTATTCTTTTTTTTCATCAGTAAAGTCACATGACTTAGCAAGTTATATAACTTATAATGTTAAAGTTTTATAACTTTATATTCATCAGTAAAATTTTATAAAGGTATATTATGTCAACCAATTTAATTAATAATGTGGTTCTTGATTAAATCTTTATACTGGTGATTTTATGGAATATGTACATTAAGTTTTAAACTAGCTTAATATGATTTAAATATTAAATTTCTAGAAAATATCTTATAAAAATGTTTATTTTTGTTACATGGTGACTATATCAAGTCTATAGATTAACTAAAATGTGATATTAAAATATATTTTGATTTTTTTAAACTATTATTCTTTCCACTGATCAATGTGGAATATGTGTGATCAATAAATTGTGATTATTCCAATGATTGATCACAACATATTGCAAAGATACCAAATATCACTGAATTATAAATAATTTCATAAAACTAAAACCTTACTGAACCTAACATTGCATCACAGCTATTGGAACCATTTAACAATAAGTATCTGTGATGCAGTGAATTTCTGTATAGAAAAACTACCAAAAAGGAATTTGGCTTATCTTAGAAACATTTTCATCATATTTTAAGTATGCACTGGAATGTATCTAGGATTGTTTATGTATAGATTATTTGAAAGTACTTCAACATTCCCTTGTTTAAGTGTAAATGCTAAGTTTATTTTGTAATAAGATAATAAGATTTTCTGTAATGTGTATAATATTGTTAAGACAACAAATATGTAAGACTTTTGGAGAATAAACAAATGACAGATTTTTTGTTTTCTTTCTATATTTCCAATTTGACCTGACCAAAGAAAGTGAAAAAATGCAATTTACCAGCAAAAACCCTGTGAAATGTAACACTCCACAGAGGTTAGGAGGAAAAAAAATGAGAAGCAAGAAATTTATTCTGGAAAAACTATTTCAATTGAATTTTTATAGAAAAGTGTTTACCGGATTTTAAAAGTTATATTTCACAAAAAAAAATAATTATATATTCCACGGTAATTACATGCCAAAGTGCTGTAACTAAAAAAGACAATAAGACCAAAGAATATAGATGCATATTATACGTCTATATTATTCTTTTATAAGACATCACAGTATAGACAACAAGACATGTTGAATAAGTATAAACAGTGGCGCCATCCCATAATTAGCTTATACACCATACATTTTCATGTTCTAAACTTTGTTCTTTTTAATAAAAATTATTGGAAACATACACACGTTATTCATTATTGTTCTTCTTTTTTTAATAAAAAACCTGCAACAATACCATGCATGATCTATAATCTGCCGTCATATGGCGGCCTCTAGTCATAAATTTTTAAAACTATTAACAGAAACTTATTTCTGTGCAGGATTCTACTCGAGTATATTTTTAGCTGTGTGATAATTAATGCAAACCTGTACACGGATGCCAGATTGTGAAGAATATATAAGACTTAAATAAAATGCTTATTGTTATTATCGTTGCATACGTGTTATGAAAGATAACTTGACAATTTCGAGCGAATATTTCAAATTGTTTTTATAATTTGAGACTTGATAAATATAAATCGGTCAGTAATATATTTAAATGAAGTAGGTAAATGCTGCCTTTTTTTTAAATTTTATTAGTTTACCAGATATTTAATTTGGTTATATGATTTTTTAGAAAAGGATTAAATATTTAATTGAAGTAGTATACTCGATTGCTATCGTCTTAGAACACTCATGCGGAGGTTTATTTTTTAGTCAAGACTTAAGTTTAATCTTTGTTTAAAAAAGAAAATCTTTTTAAACAATAGTTTTATGTATATTTTGAGAAAATTAAATTTTTACCTTTTACTTTTAATCTTTATAATAACGATTGAAAATATAGTAAATTTATGGGAATGGTTTTTTGATAATGGTTTTGAAACAAATAAACAGATCGATATGCCACAACAAGAGGCAACACATATTTCGGGACAAATTAATCTATGTGTTGGGATAAAAGGAATAATAATTAACAAAACTTTAACAGATAGTAGCCTATATTTTATTTATTTATGTATTTTATAATATACACACCATTTTTGTATTTCTGTTTACATAAATGAGAATGTTTTTTTTTTCAATCAACTCGCGCGATCTGAGATCTTATTAATACAATAATTTTAAATTACAAAGTGATAGATATTGCAAAAATTAAATTCGCATTATTTTAATAGGTAGTTATATAAGACTTATCAAAATTCTAATATCTACACATAAACAATATTAACAAAATAATAATTAAAGGTAAAAAAAAAAACAAAACAAAATTGTGTACATTTATAGTAATAGAAATTGATTGTACCATTGTTTTCATGAACTAAAATAAGCAATGTATGAGTTGGATATATGTATGAACCGGCAATACTAATTTAAAAATATTAGATCGTGTACAATACAGATACATACTTAAGAATATGTTTAACTACAATGGTATCAACTCCAACAAACGTTATGCTAGCAAAGTATAATGAAATCACAATAAAATTACATAGACAACTATTGGCACAAAAATACTGTATAAAGATGAGAAACACTGAGTCAGACCTCATATATATGTTTATTTTTATTTGCAAATATATGTTTATCCACGAAGAAAGCTAAATTACCTGAGAAAAGGAATGCCAAACTTGTATTATTGGGGGTATATAGTTATTATGTATGTATATATAGTTATTATATATATATTATATATATATATTTATATATATATATATATATTTATATATTTACCTATATATATATTATATATATATATATTATATATAATATATATATATATTATATTATATATATATATATATATATATATAGTTGTGAAATGAAATGAAAACAACAGGCAATACCAACCAAAATAATGCTACAATTTTTATGGATTTTTGTTAGGTATTGTTATGTCGAAAATTCATTTACACAAAGTACCTCGACAACTATGCCCATTGGTACAGGAACAATAATATTAAATATAGAATAAATAATGAGAACAAATAATAATTATATCACTTTAACTAATGTCCATTAGGTTAAATCTTGTGGTAGAGTTGAGCAGTTTTTAGAAACTATCTAGTTTTTGTTATGTCTGTAGGGTTGTTAAGCAGTTCCTTAAAGTAGGTTTCAAGTCCAGTGCTTTATACAGGTTGGTGAATTGTTTGCAGTCCAGGGAGAGGTGACTAATAAAAGATTGAAGTTTATGAAGAATTGTTTTGCTCTTGTGTTATAAGTTTTGTCAAGTATCCTCTACTGATTTTTTGAAAACGAATTTTAAAATTCGTTAGCTAGTTAAATTGGGGTCACACCAGTCACCTCCTGGTTGGTAGCTTCTTTGACAAAATGATCTGCTGTTTTATTATCAGTAATCCCGGTGTGAGAAGGCAGCCATATGAGAGAGACTGTTACATCGTTAGCAGAGAGATTTTGGTATATGTCATTGTTTTGAATTAATAGGTGCTCAGTAAAAATTGTATTGACTAAATGAATATATGAAAGGGAATCTGAACAAATGGCGATATGTCTGTTTTGATGGGAGATGCATTTAAAAACCAACATAATACCTGTGCAACCGTTGCATGTTAAGGGTAACCAAGATGATCTTACAAGTTCATGTTTAGTGGTTACTGCACGACCCATACCAGTGGTAGCTTTAGAAGCATCTGTATAGAGAATTAATTTCTAAAAATGCTTTCTTTATAAGAAGGTTAGAAGATTAAGTTTATTAAAATGGTGAGTGAGGTATATATTGAAGGGAGATCTTTAGCCCAGAGGGGAAGTAAAGGTAGAGGAAATGAAGTAGTCAGAAGGAGGTCAATATTTTTAGGTAGTGGAGAAATTAATTGACGTATAGGTTTTATGATAAGGTGTTGGTTATTGTTAGTGGAAGAAGACGCATTGCGGCAATTAGGGAATGAACGGGATTAAAGGGATTTGCGGATGTTGATGCAGCATACGAAAGTAGAAGAGATTATCGTCTTAGGGTAGGAGAAAGTTCATTAGATTCACGGTAGATTCACGTTACATTCTCAATAGGACTAAAGCGAAAAGCGCCTAGACCTAGAAGTAGTTTCATCGGCATCCCATTGAAGATTTAAAAGAGGGTTTTAAAAATGTTCAACCTTTTAAAACAATTGGTTCAGAGATTTGATTCTTCCAATTTAATCTGGAGTCAAACATAAAACCTAGAATTTTACATTAATTAACAACAGAAAGTGGAGAATTGTTAAATAAAATTTGGGGTAAGGAAGTGGAAATCCTTCTGGAAAATTTGATTACTTTATTAGTTTTTTCTACTTTAATTATTTTTATTACTTTATTACTTTAATTAAAATTAGTTCATCAGCGTATTGAACAAATTTGATGGAGACAAATTTCGTTGATTGAAAGAATAAATAGAGTTAAACTTAAAGCAGATTCTAAAGGGACACCTTAATTTTGAGGAATGGATTAAAAAAGTTTACGATTGACAAGGACTTTAAAGATTCTTCCAGTTAGATAGTTTTAATACAAATGAGAAATTATTACCATCTAAATTATAGTGGGAAAGTTTGTCAATGATTGCTTTTCTGGAGATTGAATGAAATGCCCCTTCAACGTTAAATATAGTTGCTACGACATCTTGTTGATTATAGATTGCTTAAGAAATGTGTGTTTAAAAAATAAAAAGTTTATCAATTTATATGGATTGAGCATCATGAATAATATTACACTGTTTAACGAACCAAATGAGAATTTTATTGACCATTGTTTCAAGAAGTTTGCAGGTGGTAAAAGTAAGAGAAATCGGACGAAAAGATATTGGAGTTAGAGGGTTGGTCAGGTTTTTTAATTGAAATGATTATAGAATTGCGCCAAACATCTGGG